GGATGCAGGAGACTCGCTTGAGCCCAGGAGTTGGAGGTTGCTGTGAGCTGTAATGCCACGGCACTCTACCCAGGGGGACAGCTTGAGGCTCTGTCTTAAAAAAAAATAAAACAAAAGGTGATCATTTTGGAGTCAGTCACCATCAAGAGCTTTTATCATGAGAAAGAAAAGACATCACAGGTCTTTTGATGGGAGAAGCTGACAAGTATCTCTTACAAACATATATTTTTAAAAATGTAATATAAGGCTGTGTGGTAGCTCACTGTAGTAATCCTAGCACTCTGGGAGGCCAAGGCAGGTGGATCCCTTGAGCTCAGGATTTCAAGACCAGCCTATCCAAGAGCAAGACCCTATTTCTACTAAAAATAGAAAAACTAGCCAGGCATTGTGGTAGGTGTCTATAAGCTAAAACCACTGACAACACTGCATTGTAACCTGGGCGACAGAGACTCTTATCTCGAAAAAGAAAAAAAAAAGTTTGAATATATGGACCTTAATGAAATTCTTTTTTTTTTTTTTTTTTGGAGACAGAGCCTCAAGCTATCGCCCTGGGTAGAGTGCCGTGGCATCACAGCTCACAACAACCTTCAACTCCTGGGCTCGAGTTATTCTCCTGCCTCTGCCTCCCAAGTAGCTGGAACTGCAGGCACCTGCCACAATGCCCAGTTATTTATTTTTTTGGTTGCAGCCATCGTTGTTTGGCGGGCCTGGGCTGGATTTGAACCTGCCAGCTCAGGTATATGTGGCTGGCACCTCAGCCACTTGAGCCACAGGTGCCAAGCCTAAATTCTTTTTTAATTGTAATAAATACATGTATGGAGCCAGGAGAGGTGGCTCATGCCTATAATCCTAGCACTCTGGGAGAGGAGGCGGTGGACTGCCTGAGCTCACAGGTTTGAGACCAGCCTGAGCCAGAGCAAGACCTCTTCTCTAAAAATAGCCAGGCATTGTAACAGGCACCTGTATTCTCAGCTACTTAGGAGGCTAAGACAAGAGAATCACTTGAACCCAAGAATGTGAGATTGCTGTGAGCTGTGATGCCAAGGTACTCTACCATGGGTGACAGAGTGAGACTCTGTCTCCCCCAAAAAAATTCATGTATGGGGCGGCACCTGTGGCTCAAAGGAGTAGGGTACTGGCCCCATATACTGGAGGTGGCAGGTTCAAACCTGGCCCCGGCCAAAAACTGCAAAAAAAAAAATTTATGGGCTCGGTGCCTATAGCTCAACCGGCTAAGGCACCAGCCACGTACACCTAAGGTGGCGGGTTCGAATCCCCAGCCCGGACCCGCCAAAACAACAATGATGGCTGCAACCAAAAAATAGCCGGGCGTTGTGGCGGGCGCCTGTGGTCCCAGCTACTTGGGAGGCGGATGCAGGAGACTCGCTTGAGCCCAGGAGTTGGAGGTTGCTGTGAGCTGTGATGCCACGGCACTCTACCCAGGGGGACAGCTTGAGGCACTGTCTCAAAAAAAAAAAAAAATTTATGTATGAGCCAGGTATGGTTGGTCATTCCTCTCATCCCTCTCATCCCAGCACTCTGGTAGGCTGAGCAGATGGATTGCCTGAGCTCAGGAGTTGAGATCAACCTGAGCAAGAGTGAGACCCTGCCTCAACTAAAAACATAAAAACTAGCCTGGCCTATAGTCCCAGCTACTCAGGAGGCTGAGGCAAGAGGATCACTTGAGCCCAAGAGTTTGAGGTTGCTGAGAGCTACGACACCATGGCACTCTACCTATGGTGACAGAAGTGAGACGTTTGTCTCAAAAAAAAAAAAAAAAAAAGAAAAATATTAATCTAGCAAAAAGATAAAAGGAATCTAGGAATCATAAAACTCCAAAGAACAAGTCAAATGTGTATCACTCGTGCTGTAAGTGAAACTGCAGAGGGCAGCTCTAGGTCTACACGTTCAGTCCACAGGAAGCCAAGCAACACTCACCTCCTTGGCGCTTGTGAAGGCAACACCAGAAAATGCATATCTGTCCACGATGAGGGTCACACCCTGGCTCAACTTTTCCTTAATTAATGGCCTGAAAAACAGAATACTCCTGAGCCCTGGCCCTGGCTTCACAGGCCCTGAATATCCTGCTTGAGTTATCCTAATGGTACAACTCAGAACTCCTGTGCAGTAACAACTACAGCACACTGACTTGTAATCTTGTTTACCTCCCAAAATGCTCTGCATCTTCTCTTTAGAACAGGGGTCCACAAACTTTTTAAACAGGAGACCAGTTCACTGTCCCTCAGACTGTTGGAGGGCCGGACTGCGGGCCCAGGGGTGAGTCGGCTGCTAAGCAGGATAGGCAGCAATGGCAAAAACACCCAGCGGGCCAGATAAATGTCCTAGGCGGGCCACAGTTTGAGGACGCCTGCTTTAGGAGCCACAAGGCAGCCCCCAGCAAAACTCTCCATGGAAAAGACCACCCCACTGAACAGCAACAAATACATCTGAGAAAACCATATATTCTACAAACACCGGTACAAAAGAGAAGGAAAAGCATTCTTAGCTGTCTGCACAGGGGCAGCCATACCCCGCTGAAATGAAGAACCACCAAGGTGGTGGCTGAGAGGGGACAAGGCCAGCAAGTGATGTACTACACTTGTGCCCCAAGCCTGGGCTGCAGGGAGGTTCTCAACCAAACAACCACAGAGCCAACAGCATCCCACAACCACCAAGACTGCAGATGTGCAAGGATGAGAGGCTGCTGTTTGTAAGAAGTATCACTTAAGGCTCAGTGGTTAGGGCGCTGGCCACATACACCAAGGCTGGCAGGTTTAAACTCCACCCAGGCCTGCTAAACAACAACAAAAAGACAGCCAGGCTATGTGGCAGGCGCCTGTAGTCCCAGCTACTTGGGAGGCCGAGGCAAGAGAACCACTTAAGCCCAAGAGTTTGAGGTTGCTGTGAGTTGTGACACCATAGCACTCTACTAAGGGTGACCTAGTGACTTTGTCTCAAAAAGAACAAATGAAAAAGAAATACCACTTAAGCCAGAGAAGGTCAAGGCACATACATTCTTCCCAGCCAGTCTCACTGGAGACCTTCAGATCATACGCACACCCATGTGATGAGAGACAAGTGATCTTTCACAAAGGAGCAAACCAATACCATGGAAACAGAGGTTTTGCTTTTTTTTTTTTTTTTTGAGTGCCCTCCGCACAGTGCTGTGGCCTCACAGCTTACAGCAACTGCACACTCTTGGGCTCAAGCAATTCTCTTGCCTCAGCCTCCCAAGCAGCTGGGAATACAGGCATCCACCACAATGCCCAGCTATTTTTAGAGATGAGGTCTTGCTCTGGCTCAGGCTGGTCTCAAACCTGTGAGCTCAGGCAATCCATCCACCTCGGCCTCCCAGAGTGTGTGTGAAGACAGTTTTTTTCACCAAATTGCTAGAATAACTGTACATCCACATATAAGAAAATCAATCTAGACACAGACCTCACGGCCTCCAAAGGCCAACCAGGCTGGGCACAACGGCTCATGCTGTAATCCCAGGAATTTGGGAAGCCACGGAAGGAGGGTGGCTTGAGGCCAGGAGTTTGAGATCAGACTGAGAATGAGACCCTGTCTCTACCAAAAATAGAAGTTAGCCAGGTATGTGGTACACGCCTGTAGTCCTAGATACTGAAAAAACAGAATACTGAGGGTAGCACCTGTGGCTCCGTGAGTAGGGAGCGGCCCCATATACCGAGAGTAGCCGGTTCAAATGCGGCCCTGGCCAAACTGCAACAACAAAAAAAAAAGCTGGGTGTTGTGGCAGGTGCCTGTAGTCCCAGGTACTCGAGAGGCTGAGGCAAGAGAATCGCTTTAAGCCCAGGAGTTGGAGGTTGCTGTGAGGCATTTGTTGGAGGCACTGTACTGAGGGCAAGAACATGAGATTCTGTCTCTTAAAAAAAAAAACAAAAAAAAAAAACTAGAATATTGAGGCAAGAGGATGGCTTGAACCCAGGTGTTTGAGGTTGCTATGAGCTTTGATAACTCTAGCCCAAGTGATAGACTAAGAGCTTGTCTTTACAAAAAATGAGGGGGTGGGGATGGCACCTGTGGCTCAGCAGGTAGGGGGCTGGCCCCATATACCAATATGGCGGGTTCAAACCCAGCCCCAGCCACCTAAAACAGCAATGGCAACTGCAACAAAAAACAGCCAGGCATTGTGGCAGACACCTATAGTCCCAGCTACTCAGGAGGCTGAGGCAAGAGAATCACTTAAGCTCAAAAGAGCTGGAGGTTGCTGTGAGCTGTGATGTTATAGCACTCTACCAAGGGCGACAAAGTGAGACTGTCTCCAAAAAAAAAGGTTCAGCTTGGTGCCTGTAGCTCAAGCAGCCAACTCACCAGCCACATACACCAGAGCTGGCGGGTTCGAATCCAGCCAGGGACTGCCAAACAACAATGACAACTGTAACAAAAAATAGCCAGGCATTGTGGGGGACGCCTATAGTCCCAGCTACTTGGGAGGCTAAGGCAAGAGAATCACTTAAGCCCAGGAGTTGGAAGTTGCTGTGAGCTCTGATGCCATGGCTCTCTACCCAGGGCGACATAATGAGACTGTCTCAAAGGAAAAAAAAAAAAAAAAGGATCATGGAGTCATGGTACCAAAAAAAACAACAAAAACAAGAAAAAGGATCAGAGTTAAATGTAAAATGCAAAACTACAAAACTCATAGACAATAACATAGGAGAAAAATCTAGATAACCTTGGGTATAGCAATAACTTTACCTGCAACACCAAAGATACAACCTATGAAAGAAGTGATAAGCTGGACATCACTAAAATAAAACCTTTCTATGTTGTGAGAGATGCTGTCAAGGGAATGAAAAGACAAGTCCCAGCCTCCAAAAAAACATGTATAAAAGAGACACTTGGAGGGGCGCCTGTGGTTCAAAGGAGTAGGGCGCTGGCCCCATATACGGGAGGTGGCGGGTTCAAACCCAGCCCCGGCCAAAAACAGCAAAAAAAAAAAAGAGAGAGAGAG